ATACACACGGTGTTAAAGCTGGAGGATCGTCATCTGCGCACGCGCGGAAATTGAGTTCCAAGCGACGATAACGACACACGCTAATAACGCAAAGGCTCATGGGTAGACGCTTGTTTGTAAACAATGACACGCTATGGCAATCTGACGCGTGCACAGGTGACGACTCCCCCGCTTTAATTAGTTTTACCTCCTCGTAATATTTAGTTAGTAAATGTATACAGAACGAGGATTTTCATTTTATGTTGTGTGGATCATGTTTGGCTATGCATGTTATCCAGCGATTTGTATAAAGAGTAAATTGTTGTAAGAGAGTAACAAAACATAACACCTTTATAACAACTACTGGGATTGTTTTTTTTCCATTCACATCAAGCACACTTGTTCTATATCCCATAAAGCCAACATGGCGACCTGATCGCTGCATTGTTTTGTCATATTATATGGTCAGAAGTAGAGTCGTACTGCGACACTTATAGCTTATCTTTAAAGTATAGATGTAAAACCCTGGTATGTATTCAACTTTGAACTTTCCTGACCAGCAAGAGAGAGAAATACTAATTTGCATAATCATTCACCCAGTGAAATATTACAGATACTTCAATTAAAGCCCGGTTACTAGAAGAATAACCGTGATTAAAGTAGTTACAACTCTCACGCATACAGATCGATTACTGTTTTGTAAAAATGTTATTATTAGGTTAAAATTAAATACAAAATTTCCCATAACCTATCACATCCAATTTAAACTTTTTGGTATTTATGTATAGTCTTGCAAATTCTCCACGTAATCACATTGTTTTTATTAATGCTCATTTCTTCTAATTTATTAAAGATGTTTCTCTTATAGTTAACTATTTGCTTATATTGTCTCTCACGTTGTAGTAATGTGTTCTTAGTTCAGGGACTGTGACGTAACGAATGGGCTTGGCGTGATAAAAGCCGATTCGTACTCACGTCCGTGGCACTCAATAATACTCCGCTGTCGGCCACAACGACATACCATACGGACATCGTGCAACTATAAATAATAATTTTGTTCTGTGATTTAAACATTCACTGACAGTTACAAAGTACGCTACTGCTTACTAAAATGCTTTACCAAATCGGTAACCAAGTGTCCTCTCAGGGCTACTCGTCCAGTTTTTTTGTCGAGACTGAGTCAGATTCGTTTACATTTAAAGATTCAGTATGTATAAGTCGGGGTGTAATGAAATGTGGTGAGTCGTTTAGTCTGTTATGTTTATGGTAGCCACGAGGCTTTAGACTACATCAACGCCCGGTCTTGCATCCCCCCTGTTGACCTCTAAAGGGTGGTGTTTTACAATTTACGAGAACGAGGCCAGGAATCAGCACCCCAAGTGTACCGAAATAAAAACAGAATGCCAGATTTAGTAGTAGATTTTTTGAGAATAATTAAGCTTAATTAATAATTAAGGCACTATTTATTTAAATTGATTATTAATTAGTTAATTTATTGTCTCTTAGTATTATGTAGATTAATAATTAATTTTTTCCCTCCTCGTATTTCCAACTAGTTGCCTATATTTTCTTCAGGTTGTAGCAATGTTTTCTCAACTAAATATATTCCCTACCTGTATAATAACGACTGCCAGACCCAGTGTATGGCTGTTTCGATGGCAACTAACAAACATATGCTTACAAATGTACAAAGACACAAACAAGCCTATTGATGATGCTTTGTGCAATCACGTATAACGGGGTTACCTAACCTTTTAGAGAAAAACTACCTACTAAAAATATATTCTTTGTTTGTCGAAAATATCAGCATATAATAGAATTGTGGAGGAAAACGTCTGATTTCAGTTTTATAAGTATAGTCAGGGTAAAAACCAATATACTTTGT